CAGGGCCCCTCACCCACTGGCACACGCCCAGCACTGAGGTGGAGCTGCCCACCCCACGGGAGCCTCCCAGCCTCCGGCTCCTCACAGGAAGGGCTTGAGGTGATGGGCAGAACTTGGATCCTGGCCACCTAGCAGCCTGGACACACCACACGCCATTTGCACGCTGCTGCCTTGTGCACCAGCGCACGCTCCCGCCTCGTGCACCAGCGCACGCTCCCGCCTCGTGCACCAGCGCACGCTCCCACAAGCACGACCACTCCCCTCGCCTCTCCCGCAGACGCACCCCCAGGCACGGACACACCCTGGCACGTGCCCATTTACTCCCAGGCACTGGAATCACAGTTGCCCTCACACAGGCCTCCTCCCCTAGCACGCTGGGCACGCTCCCAGCTCCGTGCCCCTGCCCCCGGACACGCTCTCGACTGGCCAGGCCTCGCTGAGGAGAGGTAGCAAGGACGCAGCCAGGGATGGGCAGCCCCCTGCAGCCGGCCACTCTGAGCGGTGCAGACTCCTGCCACACACAGAGACCCCGTGGGCAGCATGGCCAGTGCCCAGGGTGCCAGGAGAGGGCAAGGAGCCCACGCAGGCACCAGCTGCAGGCAGCGAGGGCCTTAACCCCAGTAGGGAGTGAGGCGGAGGATCCTGCCTTAAAGCTGCAGCAGGACCTGGCTCTGCCTTGGCGGAGAAGCCTAGACGGGCTTGGGCCGAGACTGATGCGCCCCACAGCCGCTGGCCCGGCTCAGCCCTGCACTGAGTGGGGACAGGGGCCCTGCAGCCCTGCCAGAGCAGCTGGGCTGGGAAAGGCCCCAGAGCAGGCCAGGACTAGGGGTTTGGTTTAGTCCCACAGTCGTTACCAGCTGGCCCACTCGCAGACTAGAACCAGGCCAGCAATAGAGCAGCTTATGAAGCCTCCGCAGACAGCACCTCGCTCCCCCCGGTACCCTCTCAGCCAGCTAGTGCTCCTGCCCTGCCCCCACAGCGCCCCCTGCTGGGATGGGCGCTCTCCCTCAGCCAGCACCCCTGCTGCACCCCCCGTTCCCCTCGCGACCATCTAGTGCTCCTTCCCTGCCCCCCACAGTACCCCCTGCTGGGAGCAGCTCCCCCCAGCACCCCCTGTTGGGAGCACCCCCAGCCAGAGTTCCTGCCCCCTCCTGAGGGGACCGAGAAGCCAAAGAGGCCGGGTAGCTTGCGAGAGGAGATAGAGACGGAGCCGGTAAAAATAAACTGGAATTCACTCCAAATAACTCAGCAGCAACATGCCCAAAAAAGGACAGGACCAGAGCGATCCTGTGAGTGTCTGTGCTGATCCAAGGCACCGTGGCAGACACCCGGGGGGTACGAGGGGCTGAGCACAGCAGCACCCTGCAGCTACCCGCACCCTCCTCACCCCTGGGACCCAAGCCAAGGCGGGAACAACAGAAACTCCCTGCAGGGAGACACCAGAACTGGAGGGACCAGAGTAGCTGCTGCACCCCACGAGACACCCAGACTAGTCTAGTCAGGGACCCCCGCCCCCCCATCTGTCCTGGCTTAGCTCATCAGTCCGGCTCCAGCCCAGGATCCCTCCCAGCGCCTGATCTGAGCCGCACTCTGACGAGCCTGGGCTGGTGCTGGGGGAACGGGGGACACCCCCCAAGGACTCCCTGCCCTGATTGTCCCCCGGTGACACAAGCACCTAAGCTCACGACAGGGCCAGGCAGCCTTGGCAACCTGAAGGCCAGGCGGCCTCATGGACGCAGGAATTGACGCCAGTCCCTGCTTCTCCCCGGGGCTGCTAGCCACACATGGCTAACACCCTTCGGCAGCAAGACTGGGGCCCAGAACTGGGCAGAACCTTTCTATTCCCAGTTCCATTCCCAGTGCTGCCACTGACCAGCTGGGTGACCTTGGGCAAGCCCCAGCAGCTCGGCGTGACTGTTTCCCCTCCTGCCTTTGGGCTGTCTTCTCTAGTTAGCTTGTGAGCACCTCAGAGCGCAGAAGGTCTTGGACTCAGCTGGGGCAGGATCTGGCACGAGGGAGGCCCCGATCTCTGTGGGGGAGGGGGTCCCCTGAGCACTGCAGCCATATACGCCACCCCCGTGTTTGCATGATGGTCCCAGACCAGCGCTCGACCGTTCACACTCCCTTTGTGCTGCGTAAGCCGCCAGGCACAGAACCAATGCTGATGGTTCCAAAGGACTGAGAAACATGCCAGATGGACCCCAGAAAGGCCCCCGTGCCAAGGGCAGGATGGCTCCGTCTCCCAGCCGCCTTCCCTGCCCCCAGCCGCCTCCACAAGCGTGCGAAAGCCCTGCCACTGTTTGCACTGGCCCAGCACTTTGTCCGTGGTGCGTCAGCGCGAACGCCAGGGTGGCTCCGAGCTGCCAGAGCAAATCCCCCCGCAGGGAGGAATTCCGGGAACGTCTGACAGGCTTCGCCATGGAGAACAAGGAACGTGACCAAAGCTCCCCCGCAAGAAACAGACAGTCGCATATGGGAACCCGTCCAGCGCCAGGCAGGGCGTGAGATCAGCGCTCCCCCAGCACCTGTTCACAACCCAGACGGACTGAGCCAGACCGGGCTTTGCTCTAGCTGAAGCCAAAGGGATTCTGTTTTACAAGACAGTTTTTTTATCTTCTCCGGGCAGCAACCTCTGCCGCAGACCCCCCCAGGGACAGATGGCTCTCAGCACAGGGACCCAGTGAGGGCGCTCTCAGAGGATGCTCCCAGCAGCTGGGCACTACCAGGGTACCGGGAGGGGCTCCCGCTGCCAGGGACCCAGCAGCTGCTGCCCCCGGAGTTCCAGCTGCTGGGGTCGGCTCTGCTGTGAGAAGCCAGCCGCCAACCCAGAATCCAAGTGAGCGTTGGCAGCAACTGTGACAGGCCAGAAGGCGGGAGCCAGCAAAGATCACACCGGGGGCGTGCCAAGGGAGAGCACATTTCCCGCGCTGCAGCTGCGCCCACGCCAGCCCTGCGTTACCTTCAGCAGGGGGCACCAGCAATGCCAGCCATGACTCGCCTGGCCTCAAGCAGCTGCGAGGAGCCCCCAGTTCACCCCCTCCCTCATTGAAGAGTCCTGGGGAGGGGAGCATGATAAGATCACAAGCCTCATCTGCATTTTTCCCCCCACCTTGCGCTGTTGCTCTAGGCACTAAATGCACCCCACCCCAGAGGTAGTGCCGTCCCAGGCCACACACGCCCAGAGAAGCACCATATGCCCACCTCCCACGGAGCAGGCATGGGACTGATACTGCTGCTGCTGGGGCAGGCCGTGGGGGATCTCAGCCTCTCCCCCCCACGGCTCCAGCCAGCCTGGGGTCCGCACTATCGATTTCCTCTCCTGGCTCAGCTCCCATCCCTGCTGAATAATTTACCACTGGAGGAGGCAAGGAGGGGATGCAGGGATTTGAGCCCTGATGGCTTCTAGTGTCTGGGCCCCTCACCTAAATGGCTCATTAATGATTCTGAGCTGCGCCCACAGCCTCATTAATATTCATCAGAGCTTCATTTAACCCTTTGCAGCCCTAGCTCAGCCCAGCCAGCAGCAGGGCTCACACTGGGCCAGCTGGGAGCTGCCAGCATCCCTTGCCCCAGGGAGCCCCATCCCTGCCCCCCGAGAGAGCCCAGCCGGGCCGGGCAGACACAGCCAGAGTGGGACTGTCGGGCTGAGGATCACAAAGTGCTGAAGCAGCCACCATCCACCAAACCCTCAGCGACACCCTGGCCACATGTGACATCACCCGCCCTGGCACACGACTGCCGACCTCACTACACGTACATGAAGGCAGCAGGGGCCTCATGGCAGGAGCACAGCACTGGGACTGGCTCTGCCACAGAGCGACCTTAGGCAAGTCCCTGCCCCACCTCATGCCTCAGTTTCCCTGCCTGCACTATGGGGACAGTGACACTGTATAGTGCGGGGAGCTCTGCTGAGAGGCAGGAGTGGGGGATTATTATACAGCTCAGCACTCCCCCCCCCACTCACACACCTTCCCCCACCAGCAGGTCTGCACACCCGCCCCCCCAGCGAAGGGGGAAGAGGAAGGAGCTGCTGTGAGACAAGCTCCCCAGCCCAAGCCACAGAGAGCTGGGCATCTGCTCCCATCGGTGAGGAGCCTTGGCTGCTCCAGACAGCACCCCCCTCTGGCCCCTGGGGCACCCGTAGGGTGGGGGACAGAGGATATGGCTCTGTCAGGAGCCTGGAGTGCAGCTGGGGGCAGATCAGGCCCCTGGTGTCCCTGTACAACTCAGAGCTGCCTTCAAATGTGCCCCCCCCCCCCCCGAGGGGACAGAGCTGCTGCCTTTAGGGTCCCAGAGAAGTCGCAAATCGGTGCCAAAATCGTGCCCAGGGAAAAGCTCCGGAGCTGACAGGTACATCCCGAAGCCACCCAGGGACTCAGGAAAAGAACCCAGGAGTCCGGGCTGCGGCTGTTCACAAGTGCTTGGCTCTTAGACTCGGATCCGCCCTGGGGCAGATTCCATGGGAGAGGGGAGACCTCCGCACTGTCTCTGGACAGATGTTGGGGGGGGGCGGTCAGCGCTCCCCACTGGAAGCTGCATCTGGACCCGCACAGGAGACCCGAGAGAATCCAGGGGTCAGGCGAGAAGGACCCTGCCTCGCCTCGGCGGGTCGGGGAAGTTCCCAGCGGGGCGAGGGGCGCAGGGCGAGGCAGGCGGAAGGGGTAACAGATGTGACCCTGCCCCCCCCCACACACACACCGCGGGGATCGGCGAGAGGAGAATACCCCCCACCCTGCTACCCTGCGCAGTTATTTAGAGCCAAGGGAGGGGGGGGGGCCGAGCTGCTACCCACCCCCTGAAACTTGCTCGGAGTAACGGGGGGGGGGTTGTTTTACAGATTCTCCTCTCCCCTCCCGGCCCGGCGAAGGGTGCAGAACCCGCCTCCCGCGCCGCTGCGGACCCCGAGACTTGACACCCCCCCTCCCCACGGGACCTCCCGGCTCTTCGTCCCCCGCCCCACGGGAAGGCTGGGGGAGCGGGGTCCCCGGCTCGGCGCTCACCAGCTGGCGGGCTCGGGCCGGAGCTGCCGGTGCAGCGCTACAGAGAAGCCGAACAAGCTGCCCCCGGGCCCGTCCTTGAGTAGCGTGTGGGTCCCGTCCAGGTTGAAGGCGGCGCCCGTCAGGAGCTGCAGGCCGAGGCAGCAGAGCCCGGCGCCCAGCGCTCCCCGCATCCTGCCGGCAGAGCAGCCTCCACCGCTCCGCTCCTCCGCGCGCTAACAGGGGACCGGGCCCGGCCGCCGGACACGCCCCTTCCCCGCCGGCCGCACGGAGCAGGGCAGGTGCTGGCCCCGAACCCGGCACGGGGAGCGTGAGAAACTGGTCGTTCTGGCAGCGGCCCCCGGGCCCGGCCACTGCCTAGGGCGCCGCCCCCTCCCGTGCACGTGCTTTGCAGGGGGAAGCAGCCGCTGGCCGGCGCTGAAATGCAGCCACCTCTGGGGGGAGTCGGCAGCTGCCTGCTGGGGCGGGGCGGCCGGGCAGGCTGCGAAAGAGGCGCCAGGTCTCCGGTGGAAGCCGGCCAGGACACCGGGCTACACGAGGGCAGAGTCCCACGGTGCCTCACGCCCTGGCCAGGCGGGAGCTCAGGACACTGGATTCACCCAGGAACTTTTTCCGCTCGGGGGAGACCCGAGGCAGCCTCCTGAGCCCCTCGCTCCCGTGCTCGAACGAGCATCCTTCGGTGCCGGGCTGCTGCTCCCAGTTAAACAACATATGTCACCCCAGCGCCAGGCACTTTTGGGGGTGCGCTGGGGTGACATGCGATATACCCGCCACTGCAGCTGTAAGAGACCCTCTCTCCTCTGGCGGCCCATGGATGGGAACTCCCCGCAACCATCTCCCTGCATTATTCCCCACAGCGCCTCCTGCTGGGGCTACCGCCCCCGGCCTCCCTCAACTCCTAGAGCGCCCCCTACCGAGAGTGGCTGGGGGTGGGCCAAAGGCTGGGACTTGTAACCTCAGCCTGCGCTCCTGCCCCTCGCCCTCCAGCGCCCCCTGCGGGGAAAGGCTGGGACTTGTAACCTCAGCCTGCGCTCCTGCCCTTCGCCCTCCAGCGCCCCCTGCTGGAAGAGGCTGGGACGTGTAACCTCAGCCAGTGCTCCTGCCCCTCGTCCTCCAGCGCCCCCTGCGGGGAAAGGCTGGGAAAAGGGAACTGGAAACCAGCAATCCTTAGCAGTTAGCTTGCCAGCACGCTGGCCCATGCTTTGCTACATAGCTTGGGCTGCAGGGAGCTTGCAAAAGTGGGCCAGAGTGAGCCCCTGATAGGTTTCCCTGCCCAGGGAGGAATGGCACGCGGTGCTGCTGTTGGGGCAGGATGGCTGCAAATGAGAGTGAACGGCCGCCTGTGGATCGCGGGCCTGGCCCCAAACGGGAGCGTGGGGGCGTCACATTTTCCAGCACACCAGCTATTTTTAAACCGCTCCCGCTCACCAAGGGCTTCACAAGAGATTTGCGAGTTGGCAGGGCTGCTGCATCCACGTGAACGGGCTGCAGCCCGGATGCCGGATGCAGCCGCGCAACAGTCAGGTGACTCTCGACCTTCCTGCCCCTGGTCGGTTCACTTTGGTTTTCCTGCATTCTGCCCCCAAGGCAGTGGGGGACAGATGGGGTGACCCTGCCCCTTGCAGAGCCGGGTTGTGGGACCATCTGCCTGATGGCAAACAGGCCCTCGGAGCTTTTCCCTCCCCAGTGCTTTCCCCTTGGATAGCCTGGCTGTATTGATGCCGCTGGCACTGGGAATGGATGATTCCTTCTCTAAAGGGCCACCTGGTAATGGACCCAGTTCCATCCACTGTCCCAAGGGCGCCTAGGGCTTTCGCCTCTGTCCCCCTGCACATCAGCCCTGCCACCCCAAACATTCTGTGCCAGACCTAAGAGCTGAGATCAGACCCCAGAAATCCCCCACCCCTTCCCACCCCGCTCTTTCAGCAGCATCTTTCCACCTGGCCCGGTGGGAGGAGGCTGCTGTCATGCAGGCAAGGTGGGTACAGAGAGTCTCGGAAGCAATGGGGCTTGGGACAGGAGAGGAACAGCTGGTGTAAATGAAACTGAGCCTTGGGATGTCCTCAGTGGAGAGGGGGCCACTCGGCAATCTGTCTACTGGAGCCTCAGTGGGGCCCAGAGCCGGGTGAGTGAAGCAAGCTGCTCTTGGCCTCTCTTGCTTCCGTGGCTCTTCTGCAGGGACGCGCAGCGGTTGGTAGAACTGCCCTGGGCCGGCTACGTTCACCCCTGCCCAGCCCAGGTTTCCGAAGTCCGCAAGGGTCCCAAGATCAGGAGGCTGGCTTAAAATGTTGAAAAACAACGATCGGGGCGCTGCTTTTGGATCTCTCTCGGGCCAGCGGTGTCACTTCTCTCTGCACCCACAGAGGCTAGAACCTGCCTTTGCTTTTGCAGTGAAGGCTGGAGGTTTTAGGTCATCGCAGGACTCTTGGAGCTGGGGCCTTGAGAACAATTCTGACCGTGGTGGGCGGCACCCAAGGAGATCAACACCTGGATTTCTGTCACAGCGTTGGCCAGCCAACAGCCCCTTCACAGATCATGTAGCCTGTCCTCCTGAGTCACAATCCAGAGAGTGACCCCCCACTTCCTGTGCCCAGCAACCCCTGTCTGGTCAAACTTCTCCCAAAAAGGCACCCAGCCTGGCTGCAAAGGCACAAGCCTGGCAGAGCCGCCCCATCCCTGGGCAGTTTGTTACCCACCCCCAGCCAAACCTCTGGGCTGTAGGGTAGAAGGCCCAGCCTGCTGGGAGAACACCTCGCAGCATCCGTCAGCCTCTCCACCTGAATCCGAGATCCCGCTTCACTTCCTGTCCTAAACTGCATCCCTGGGACAGAGCAGCCACACGCCAGTTGCTCTGTGCAAGGGCATGGCCAGCTGAGCCTCAGCCGCTGGCTTTGCATGGCGTTTGCTTAGTTAGTGGATGGTGTTATGTAAATGGCGGGTGGTCTGCAGCTGAGAGAGCACTAGAAGTGTGTGTGTGTGTGTGTGTGTGTGTGTGTGTGTGTGTGTGTGTGTGTGTGTGTGTGTATAAAACAATTAAAACAAACAGTGAAAGACAGAAAAAGGAATCACTTTGCTTGTTTTTGGAGGGGGGGAGCAGCAGCTTGGGAGGGTGAGTGTAAGGGGAACATCCCTTCTTGAAAAGACTCAGTTGGATTTGAAACCTCAGTTCCCACCAGCTTCTGAGAGCCCCTTCCAGCTCAGCCAAGCCAAGAGACCACGTGACGGGGAGGAGAGATGAGCTGACTGGCTCTGGCTCCCAGAGCTACTGCTGGGCCTCTAGGGCAGCACGAAGCCCCGGCCTCAGTTTCAGAGCCAGAAAAGTCCCCTGAGGGCTTTGGGGGCCGTGGGTGGAGCTGGCAAAAAAGCGAGGCCAGAGCAAGAGGAATCTCTGTGGGTGGGGAAAATTGCTGGAGCCAGAGGGCTGGGAGCAGAGCTGAGAACAGGGGGTTATGGGCCCTGGCCTCTACAGATGGACCCACCCAGAGAGGGAACCGCTCCCAAGCAGCCTTCCAGTTCCTGAAAGCAGCAGAACCAACCCTTCTCCATTAACTCTGGCCAGGGTGCAGTCCTTCAGCCCCCTCCCCCTCGAGGGAGCATCCTCCACCAGATGGCAGAGAAAAGGGAAGAAGCGGGAGTGTAGAGGAGGAGGCCAGATGGTAACATGACATGGCCCAGAACCAGCTGGTCCGTGCCCATATACCCGCCTGGCACCTCCTTGCAGCAGCCGGCTCGCCTCCAGTCTCCACTTTCACATCTAGCTGCAGTTACAGCGGCCAAGGAAGCCTCAGGATGTGCCCTGGGCATGAGCCAGACAGCTGCCCCTGCCTGTGTCTGCAAAGAGCCTGGCCCCATAGCTCACAGGAGTGTGCACGGCCCCTGTCATCTCAGGGAGGGGCGGACTCAGACTCCCCCTGCTGAGCATTCACATGCCAGCCCGGCTACCACCTCCGACCCTCCTGCGAGAGAGAGCTGCGCAGCGACGCCAGGCAGGGTCTTTTCGGGTGCTAGCTGGGAGAAGGGGAGGGCCCAGCAGTGGTTCATGAGCCACGATGCACATCCGCCTGGGACACAGCCAGCCAGGCCCACAGGGCGACTCTGGAGTCGGAGCTCGGCTACAGGACTCCTGTGACCCGCTCCCAGCTCTGCCACTGGCTGTGGGCCACTCCACCCCCTCAGGACTGGTCACTGATTTGGGGGACCCCAGCCTGAGACACCCTACGCCTGGTTCCCAGGTGGAGCTGAACCCCGATGGCATGCCCTGCCCAGCTCTCTGCCTCCACAGTAACCCAATCAGCTGTGACTCCGCCAATAACAGAGGCAACTCAATTCCTTCGTGTTCCCCGCTCCCGGCCCCCATGGCTGGATGGGCTCCGGCGAGGCGGGTGGCTGGGAAAACTTGTTTGTGTCGTGGGAGGCAGGAGATCTGTCAGCCAGGTGCACGGGGAGGCAGCCAGGGCTATTTTTACATGGTCACTGAGCTAACTATGGGCCAAGTGACGCTGGTAGCGCCAGTCCCCATTTCTCCAGGTCACGGCCACAGCCCCGGGCCAAGCAGATAAATTCATCTCTGGAGCGGAGTCAGAAAGGCTCCAAGTGAGCGATATGACTGAGAAACCAGCTCTGTTGTTAGAGGTGCCATCTTGCGGGTCAGCTGCTGCCAGCCATCCACACCCCTCATGGCAATAAAGCCATCCCATGGGCTAGTTCGGTGTTTCTCAACCTTTTTTTAATAAAGTACCCCTTTTGCCAAAAAAAAAAAGATAAGTACCCCCAATACCTAGAGTTTTCAGACACACAAATGGTTTTCTACCATTGCAACACATTTGTTTAAACAATTTAATTGTAGCCGGGCGGGCGATGACATTTTTGGGTGTAAAAAGTACAAAAATAATAAAGAGCTGTAAAACTTAAAAGAAAAATTCTGTTTTCTCCAAATTCAGTTGTGTTGACGTATCCCCCAGACTTCTCTCGAGTGGGTACTTGTACCACTGGTTGAGAAACACTAGCTCTTACTGCATAACTCAGGGTCTTTACCCTGTGATCCCGGGCAAACTCTCTTTCTAAATCTGTCCCCTTGGATGAGGTCTTTTGCTTCCCTTCCTGTCCCAGGCCATGCCATAGGATTGCTGTTTGGTGTGAAACAGCCCCACCCCAGAAATGGCTGCATGGCAGCGCAGGATCCCTGCTCACAGCATTGTTAAAGTCCTCTGGGATCCTGCCGCTATGCAGTATAGAGGCAGCAGGATCCATAGGCCTGCTCTGGAACAGTTCCTCGGAGGAGCCCGCAGGGTCATGCACTCACTAGGGTCAGCCGCTCAGCTTTGTAGTAGTCAGGATTTACTGGCATGTTGTCCTGACAGGTCTCCTGCTCCGTCAATGATGTTGCATGCGGGTGTGCTCAGTCATGTGGGCTGTGTCGACTCATGCAAGGAATCAACACAAAGAGAGCCTCCAAAGACCACAAATGAGATAAGGATCGAAGGTGCCCGGCCAGGTTTATTGTTAAATAAAGCACAACAATCATTGAAGGTCGACTCTACAGAACCACTATGCACATGTACCCCCTAACAATAGACCGCAGGCGGTGATATGGGAATCGGTCACTGCCTCCTAGGTCAGACAAAGACTGCCCCTCCAAGACACCGCTTTAGAGACACCTCACTTCTGACATGTCAGGTTACCACCCTCTGACACTCCTTAGATACCACCCACCACCCTACACCTGGTGGTTCAATCAGAACTTTTCTCTATCCGTCACGCTGTCCATTTAGACCCTTTCCTGAACCTAGGTGAGTATCTGGGGGAGTGTGGGGACCAAGGGCTTTCCTAACCAGCGGGTGGTACCATCCTTTTGGAAGGTGCTTTCAACCTGTGACCAGTACCGATGATTGTTTTACAGTCGGCACCTTGCGCCAATGACTGTTCTACACCTGGGCCTGTTACCAGTTAGTGCTTTGCACTCTCGGCCCTGTTCGTGCCAGGGGCCTGCCTCTTGCTCCTGGCTTAGCTTTGCTTTATATTAGCTATGTTTGTCTGTTGTTAGCTAGGCCTCAGGCCTCAAATCAGGCTTGTGATACATGGACTTCTGTGGCAGGCTCTCATCTTACTACAGGCTTACTGCCTCTGGGGACTGAACCTCAGAGCTTTCAGCACTCTCCCCTCTCTCCCCCCCAGTGATCTCCATGGACCCACCTGTGGGGGACTTACACACCCGACGGGAACGATGCACCCCGGCTTCCTGACTCTTCAGTGGTGTTTCGCCAGCAGGTTAGCAGCAGAGGGTTGATTAGCTGTCTGGACGCAGCACAGAAAGTCCGTAGTTCACACAACAGAGAACAGAAGGTTACAGCAAACTCCATCTGGACTACAAAGCCTCTCTAGTCCCTGCCCAGGACCAAGTCTATCCTTCCTCCCACAGCCCACACTTAACTGCCCCACGGGGCCCCAACTCAGTCCTTTGTTCTTGTTCCCAGGAAAACACTGTCACCTGGCTGGCCGCCTTAGCCCTTTGTTCTCTGCTGTTCACCCATGGCCGTTAGTTGCTAGGATCCAAATGTCTGTGCAACTGGAGTGTCTATTGTCTTCTGGGACTCCCCAAGGCCCCAGCCAGGTGTCAGTCAGACCTGGAGCTCTGCCCAGAGTAAACAACCTTTTCCAACTACCTAGTTAACCATGCAACCATTCTAGGGGAAACTGAGGCACCCACCATATTCACACAAAATGACTAATCCCCACTCCGCCACTGCAGGGCATACACCTTTGCACATTCTGTACCCAAACCACCAGCCCTGGGACTCCAAGCCACGTCTTTCTCTGCTGCTGTGGGGCTAAAGA